GTAATTAATCATATATTTTTATATTCCAAGATGTACATATCTTAGCGATGAATTTGTATGTTTGTCAGTGTCTTAAATTCATTAATACCTTACTTTTAAACAGTTTTTTGTATGAGAATTTCCTAGTTTTAAAATAAAGATTTTGAATCTAGTTCTGTTTTTACAAACAAACTAGTTTCTACTGTAGCCGTTTAAGCAGTTGAATACTTAAAATTTTCAACTCATAAAAGCATTAAGCTCACTGAAATGGCAATGCTAGAAATTAGCTTGCTAGTAGAAGTAGCAAATGTTTAGGAGCGCCACAGATTCAGTATTTACCCCTTGATCCTGATGTCCCCTTTTTGTGGACTTTTACATCTACCTAGTAGAGTTAAGAATTAATGACTTCATTAGATAGGCACCTTCTCATGCATTTCTCCTTTTTCCTGGCTGCTCTGTGCACTCTGTGGTCCAATCCACAGCTTCCTACTCATTTCCCATAGTGTTGGTTGTAAGCCAGGTCAAAGCTTCTTTTAGGGACAAATCAGGGTAGCTGAGACCAAACTGGCTGAAATCTGTTTGGTAGCAAATCTGGGGCTTGGAATTGTGGCTGTAGGATGGGACCCCTCAGCTTAGGGTTTGGATTGGCCAAGGAGGAGGGCTCTAGAGATAGGGAAGTAGAGATTGCTTTCTCTCAGACTTTATGTATCCAATGAAGAGAGCCTTCTCTAGTCAGGGCTTGAAGATTTTCATTGTCTCCAAGCCCTAATTGGTTCACATGAAATCCTTTGAAGTCAAGGGGAAAAAGCTGGACCTTCAGCTATGTCTGCTGGGTGTGAAAAGTTTTTCAGAGTAACCCCATGCCCTGGTCCCAGCCCCATTCTGTAGTCTCATAGACTCATAGACTTTAAGGTCAGAAAGGACCATTATGATCATCTAGACTGACCTCCTGCACAACGCAGGCCACAGAATCTCACCCACCCACTCCTGTAACAAACCCCTAACCTATGTCTGAGTTATTGAAGTCCTCAAATCGTGGTTTAAAGACCTCAAGGTGCAGAGAATCCTCCAGCAAGTGACTCGTGCCCCACACTTTAGAGGAAGGCGAAAAACCTCCAGGGCCTCTGCCAATCTGCCCTGGAGGAAAATTCCTTCCCGACCCCAAATATGGCGATCAGTTAAACCCTGAGCATGTGGGCAAGACTCACCAGCCAGCACCCAGGAAAGAATTCTCTGTAGTGACTCAGATCTCACCCCATCTAACATCCCATCACAGACCATCGGGCATATTTACCTGCTAATAATCAAAGATCAATTAATTGCCAAAATTAGGCTATCCCATCATACCATCTCCTCTGTAAACTTATCAAGCTTAGTCTTGAAGCCAGATATGTCTTTTGCTCCCATTACTCCCGTTGGATGGCTGTTCCAGAACTTCACTCCTCTGATGGTTAGAAACCTTCATCTAATTTCAAGTCTAAACTTCCTAATGTCCAGTTTATATCCATTTGTTCTTGTGTCCACATGGGTACTAAGCTTAAATAATTCCTCTCCCTCCCTGATATTTATCCCTCTGATATATTTATAAAGAGCAATCATATCTCCCCTCAGCCTTCTTTTAGTTAGGCTAACCAAGCCAAGCTCTTTGAGTCTCCTTTCATAGGACAGGTTTTCCATTCCTCGGATCATCCTAGTAGCCCTTCTCTGTACCTGTTCCAGTTTGAATTCATCCTTCTTAAACATGGGAGACCAGAACGGCACACAATATTCCAGATGAGGTCTCACCAGTGCCTTGTATAACGGTACTAACACCTCCTTCTCTCTACTGGAAATACCTCGCCTGATGCATCCCAAGACCGCATTAGCTTTTTTAACGGCCATATCACATTGGTGGCTCATAGTCATCCTGTGATCAACCAATACGCCGAGGTCGTCATCCTCCTCTGTTACTTCTAACTGATGTGTTCCCAATTTATAACCAAAATTCTTATTAATCCCTAAATGCATGACTTTGCACTTTTCAGTATTAAATTTCATCCTATTACTATTACTCCAGTTTACAAGGTCATCCAGATCTTCCTGTATGATATCCCGGTCCTTCTCTGTATTAGCAATACCTCCCAGCTTTGTGTCATCCGCAAACTTTCTTAGCACATTCCCACTTTTTGTGCCAAGGTCAGTAATAAAAAGATTAAATAAGATTGGTCCCAAAACCGATCTCTGAGGAACTCCACTAGTAACCTCCTTCCAGCCTGACAGTTCACCTTTCAGTATGACCCGTTGTAGTTTCCCCTTTAACCAGTTCCTTATCCACCTTTCAATTTTCATATTGATCCCCATCTTTTCCAATTTAGCTAATAATTCCCCATGTGGAACCGTATCAGATGCCTTACTGAAATCGAGGTAAATTAGATCCACTGCATTTCCTTTGTCTAAAAAATCTGTTACCTTCTCAAAGAAGGAGATCAGGTTGGTTTGGCATGATCTACCTTTTGTGAAACCATGTTGTATTTTGTCCCAATTACCATTGACCTCAATGTCCTTAACTACTTTCTCCTTCAAAATTTTTTCCAAGACCTTGCATACTACAGATGTAACCTTGCAGGTCTCCAGTTCTGCATCCACACAGCCATGCTGTATTCACAAAGGCATCCCTGCTCCTCACTGATTTTTCCAGCCTTGAGTCCGCAGACAACCTTGCTCTCCAGTTCAGCTCTAAGCTGCCCTTCACCCTGGCTCCTTCCATGACCCTCAAGGCCAATGCTACCTCCCTACTAAGATTTTTAAAAACTTACCCCAAAATCATTCTCAGAGCTGGGACTCCCCTGCTGTTATAGTATATAGCAAGTCAACAGTAGGCAGAGGAGGGAAGTTGTGGATTTGGATAGCATTAAGGAAGTCAGTGTGATGGACTGGCTAGAGGCTATTGTAGAATGGGGATGGAGCTAAGGAGCAGGGATTTTTTGGAGGCTAGAGCTAGTCAACCTGTGGAACTCTTTGCCAGAGGATGTTGTGAAGACCAGGACTATAACGGGGTTCAAAAAAGAACTAGATAAATTCATGGAGGATAGGTCCATCAATGGCTATTAGCCAGGATGGGTAGGTCTGGTGTCCCTAGCTTCTGTTTGCCAGAAGCTGGGAATGAGCGACAGGGAATGGATCACTTGATGATTACCTGTTCATTCCCTCTGTGGCACCTGGCATTGGCCACTGTAGAAAGAAGGATACTGGGCTAGATGGACCTTTGGTCTGACCCAGTAAGGTCATTCTTATTGATTGGGCGATAGCTGGAGGAATGGACCAAGTCTGGTAGCTGGAGCCAGGAAGCAGGGCTCATCTGAAGGTTAAAGAGCAAGAAAGAGAGTCCAGCAGGGAAGAGGGGCCTTATATTGCAGACAGTGAAGCAACTGAAGTTTGAATTTACAATTTTAAATGCTTCAATTCTTAAATGCTGTGCTGTAGCCAGTAGAGAGGAAGGATGATCTAGTGGTTAGGGCAGTGGCCTAGGACTATGGAGAGCTGGGTTCAAATCCTTTATTGTTATCTCTGTGCCTTAGTTCCCCATCTGTAAAATGGAGACAGTAGCGCTTGCCCTACCTCAGAGGGTGTTCTGAGGATAAATATATGGAAGATTGTGTGACACTCAGATACTATGGTAATGGGAGCCATTATAAGTACCAGAGAGAGATTAATGACAAGAGGGTATCTCTTGATGTAAATAGAAGCAGTTATAAGTAATGTAAATAACTTTATTTTTATTTTTTAAACTTCCTTTTATACTGAATTTTTTGTACATATACTTAGTTTCAGCTGTTAAGGCCAAGGAATTTGTAAGTTCGAGAGATCTGAGAAAAAAATTGAGTAGGTGCACATTTCAAAAGGAGGTCATTTGAAATTACTTCAGATTCCAGAAGTGATAACCAGAAAATTAACCATAGGAGAAACTGGCATAAGTTTTCTGATCATATATCTAATTTTCAGACCTGACTACGGGATTTAGTCACCATTGTAACTGCAGATCTCAGTACTATGGAGCTGCCAACAACACCTCCATATGTTCACATTTATATATTAGTCTATACAGAATCTGTCATCTCCATCCCATATGTTCTGTGGAGCAAAACAGATGCACTAATAGTCTGACCATACACTTCACTTTCCTGAAACAATTATTTTTTAAACAATTAAACCTAATTGTTTGCCTAAATCTAGGTATACTTAATCCTACCTGAGCATGGGGGTAGGGGATAAACTAGATGATCTCTTCAGGTCCCTTCCAGCCCTATATTTCTATGATTTTAATAAGCATATCAGTTAAATCATTGCTGGTGCTAGCCCATTGGGGGCCTTATGCAGAAATATTTCCCCCTGATCACACAGAACACATACTAATTAATATGGAGCCCCCTTAAGCTACTTGTGGCCCTATGCAATTGCTTAGTCTGCTTATGCCTAGTGCCGGGTCTGGGTTAAATTCAGTTAACTTAAAAAAGTTAATTAAGGGTTTCTGAATCAGCATTGGCTTTTAAGATATTGGAGACTCTCAGTGAAGTTAGTCTGGAGCTAGTGGATTAAGTTCCAGTCTACTCCTGTATGTGTTTGTAACGAAGCTGCATCTGTTCAGCATGACAGTGAATTATCACGTTTTGTGTTGTGATGGCACCTAAAGAAGCAGGTCCTTTTAAATGCTCATCGGGTTGGGCATGAAATTAAACAGATGAAAATTTGGGATTGTTGCATTAATTTTGAGAACACTTCTCCCCTTTAGCCTTTGGATATTGCAGATACATAGAATCAGTCTCCTACCAAATCCATATCTCCTACATTTTTTATCTATAACTCTTAAGTCATTCCTAAAGTGAGCACCTTCTATGTAGTGTTTGTTATAGATTTATTTCTGCCTAATCGCTCTCATAGAAATTCTAAGGAAAAAATGTCACAATTGGAACAATTAGACTACAGGTGGTACAAACTGAGGAATAAAATAGTTGGTTTCAAAGTATTATGCCTTCTGGTTTTAGGTAGCAGTGATGGTTCAGAACTTAGTGAAGAGACTTCATGGCCAGCATTTGAAAGGTAAGAAAAACTGCTACATCTAAACCTATATCTCCAACTCCATTCAGACCTCACTAGTTTAAACCTATCACTCAACTCCTTGCAAATGAAGTGTAATGTTAGTGGTGTGCAGAACTCAATTATGTAATAAACTGGGTAACAGCCATTGCTTCTAGACTACAGTGTATCCTTTGGTTCTTGTCAAGCCATTTAGGGGGCAGCACCTTCTGGTTATTAGCTAACAGAGAGCTTTGTCACTTTACTGGCTTATTGCTCAACTTTGTCTCCTGAATTAACTGGACCACCACCAAACCCCTGACAGATTTCCTTTTCATGAATACCGGCATCTCCTGTTCAATATCCTCAACATCATGTGCCTCTCCTGTTTCAACATGTTCACTAGCCCTCAGACCTCCTCTCTGTATCTCTTGTATTCCTGGCTCCCTGCATTCCCACCAAAATCCTGCTGTTCTGGCTCCTCCTTCCTCTGCTGCCTGCTCCCTCCTATTCCCCCCTCCATCCTGATTACTCCTCCGTCTGCAACTCGGGGAAATCCTGAAGCAACCCAGCTATCACTACCTATCCTATGTAATGTAGACTTTTATATCATGCTCATTACCATAGTATATAACACTATCCAGGTGTCATTGACCACTGTAATTCAACCCCCCAAGTATTCAAGAGTGAGATGAGGTGTTAAATAATTACAGTTGAAAATAGTAAAAATTGGAAACCTAATGTTTTCCTGCAAGCTATTAAGTTGAACCATGAATAAAGTGTACTGAGCCCACTACCTATTCACCAAACAGTCTGCTGGGTAACATGGATTATAATTCTCTCTCTCATATTCAGGGAACCCATCAATCTGGAAACTGACTGGGGTAACCATGCCCACCTCTATGCATGGAGACATGGATAGACATTTTGGCCTAAGGACTTTGTTTATAGCCAGGAACTGTGTCCCTTCCCAGTATTCTGCCTTTGTCTTGTAGAAGCAGTTCAGATTGTATAAATTCCTTATGGAGAGAGATTTAAGTTGTGCTTTGTACCAAAGGTGAACTCTTCAATACCATCTCTTCCTATAAAATCTGTTATTTCCATGGAAGGGGAGCCCCTAAGCATCCAGTGGATGAGAGGCTAGAACAGTCTCTTCAGAGAAGCAGACTACTCCTTGGCTACCCTGCATGCAGCTATAGCATACAGCATCATTTAGAGATTCCCTGAAGTGCTCAAGTCATCTATATTGATATTTAAACAGAACAAAGTCAGAAAGAAGAGGATCTGGAACTTGCATATAACCCATTCCTATACATGATGCAGCTTGTGAGATCACAGAGTTTTCTTTCTGCTCTTCCTACTTTGCTCCACTCTTGCCAGGAAGAGTAAGGTCCTGAGCTGTGGGTATCATATTGAGTGTCCATTTGATTCAAGTTCCCTTTGATGGACAAAAATTATATGGGGAAGCCTTAGATACAGTGGTGAAAGAAGCCATGGATCTGAGTAAGCTTCCTCTGGCCCAAGGAAGACACATATTTCTTCCTCAAGGGCAAAAAACTTAAAGATTCTAGCAAAACATCAGAACTAATCCTTTCTTGTCTCCAAAGGAAAAGAGTACTTCTCATGGCCCTTATCTCAAGAATCCAGAAAAAAGCAGGTTATCTCCAGTCCCTCTCCCAATAAATAATGAGAATTGGATGGATCAGACTCTCCCCCCAATTGGGGGCAAGTTGAAAAGTTTGCTGCAGGTTTGGGCTGGAACTATCCAGGACAAATGGGTTTGTGCCTGAGCATCATGGCTACCGCATAGAATTTTTCATCCTGCATTCATCACCAAATTCCACATCCTTTTGACACTTCCCTCTGTCCTGACCAAAGAGCAAGCTTTTTTGGACCCTATTTGATGTAACCTCTTTTTGAGGACATTTTCTCTTGTCCGATCCCAGGAAAGGGGCTTAGATTCTTCATGGACACAGGGAACATGTATGAGACCTTCATAGGTATGGCTTATGTCTTTCAATCACTGAGATGGCAGAGCAAAGCTAGAAACTTGATGGGGGATGCTTTGACTGAAATGCCTAAAATTAAAGGTCACTGTGGTGCCTGCCTGAACAGTTGGTAAGTTGTACAGTAGAGTTCCATTCTTGTTATGGGAAAAAAGGTCCCTTTGTGAATAAAGGAGAAGCATCAATTAGTTGGAATTGCTAGCCAGTAGCAAAACCATGACTCACCAAATGCCCTTCATGACTGCCACCTCCATCCTGGTTCAGAGCCAGGGAGAGGGAACTGAAAGTCAGTGCCCTTCAGTTTATCTTCCAGAGTGAGGGGAGTCAGCAGATCAATGTATTTGCTCCAAGCAACAAGAAATTGTACTTTTTCTATCTGAGGGAGTGGGAGAGCAGGATATGGAAGATAAATTGTTCTAATTCAAGTGGACATACCATTTTATGTGCACCCATTCTTTTTCCTTTCCTGGCTTAGGTAACCAGAAAATTCAAAAGGGATGGGGCCTGAGTCCTCTTCCTTGTTTGCTTATCAAATGCTTTTTCTCCTGAAAAATGCCCTCTGTGGAGGTTACCTATTTCCAGAGACTTGGTAATGCAATGATTAATATGTTTTCAAGGCTCAGAAGTTTAAACTGACAGTCTGGAACTTAATAGTAAGCTTTAAAAACTTGGGATCTGGATCAGCTAGTCAAGATCCTCTTGTGGTCCAGAAAAGATCTGCTGTGTTTTAAAAGGTGTGTATGTTGAACACGGTCTCACTTCAGAATCAATGTCAGTCAAAACCTTAGCTACTTACTTGGTAGAGTCACTAAAACTAGCCTAAGGGTGTTAGATGCCTAATTTCCTTAGGCACTTTTGGAACTTTGTTGGTATCTTACTTGTAACTGCAGTAAGAGCCCTCCACTTATCTATGAGGAAAAGTTAGTTTTTACCCTCCTATCCCTTGATTCACTAAATTACTCCTGGGGGAATTCTATGCCACTGCACATACACAGAATTTGTCCCCTTCAGATTTCTTTGCTTCCTACAGAAAAATGACTTTCTGACAGGGAAGCAAAAGGAAGACGAGAGCGGTCATGCAACCCTCCAGCAGTATGACCCTCCGGCGGGGGCGGGACTGGGGAAGACCTGGCTAGTGGCTCCTAACTGCTCCAGGCTCAGTTGCTAGTCCCAGCTGGGCTGTGAAGGATGGGACTTCCTTTTCCCCTGCACGGCATCTGGGGCTGGGTCAGATCCACCCCCTGATTTCTCCCTCAGCTACAGGAAACTCTGCAAACTCCCTCCCCCTGTTTCGTGCACCCATCACTCCTCAGCTGCAGGGGCAAGGTTCCCTGTACAGGGAGCTTCTCCCACATCTGCCCAACTCCCAGGCATCCAGACCCTCCCTCATACTCAGAGACTCTCATCAAGTCTCACCCCTCTGCACTCAGAACACCCCCCTCAATGAGCCCCACTCCCCCTACACCTGGACCACCCCAACGAGCCACCTGCACCCGGATCTCCACCCCACCAAGCCCCAACCATCTGCAGCTGGATCCCCACACCACTGAGCCCCACTCTCTCAGCATCCGCCCCCCCCAACCCTCCCCACATCCAGCCCTCCCTGCTGAGCTCTATCCCCACCACACTCAGACAAACCCCCCCCCTCTTCCCTCCCCCCGACTGAGTCCCAACCACTTTCACCTGGACTCCCCTGCAGACTCGCATTACCATTGCACCCAGAACCCCCCAACAATCCCCTGTGCGTCCGGATCCTCTGCTGAGCTGCCTGCACACAGATTGCCCCACACCTGTCCCCCCAAACTAAGCCCTTCCACACTTAGATCCTGCCTTGCTGAGCCTGCCTGCCCACACCTGGTGTACCTGGCACGGAGGGTCAGGGCCCTGGGGTGTTTCTGGGGCAGGCCCGGACCTTGCACTGTGTCATGATTGAGTGCAGCCTCACCGCTGAGTCCATGTCTGGAGGAATGGGGGGGCTGGACAGTGATCTCCCACCTCTGTGCAGCCAGTGTCCTGTGCTCCCCAGTGCCATGCTGGAGCCTCCACATTTATTTGACAAATAAAATTTGCAGAATTTTAAAATATTGTGTGCAGAATTTTTATTTTTGGTGCAGAATTTTTAATTTTTTGGCACAGAATGCCCTCAGGAGTAACTAAAACATGATCAGAATTACATCTTTCAATTAAAGCTCCTGCCGCCAGCTGGGAGCTCAACTTAGTACAGGGACAATTGATGTCCTTTGACCTTTGAACTAATGGCTATGGCTTTGTTGTCGTTTCTTGTCAGTTGTCATTACTTCTTCAAGGAGGGCCAGTGAATTCAGTGCCTTGGCATTAATAACTTTTTTTGTTTATTTTGTTTATCTTGATTTTTACTCAAGGTTGTTTTTCCTTACCATTTAAATTGGTATATTTCACTCCCTTTATTTCCCCCAATACTTCCCATCCTAATGAAATAAAGTGGCATTGTCTGGATGTCTGCCAAGATATTATTCTACTCAGGCAGAGCAAGATCAAAAGCCACAATCTTTCAATAAGTCTAAGCGGGACTTGTAAAATTGTATAGATGAGCAGATGAAACTCCTCTATTTAGTTTGAACTAGTTCTATAAAATCTCTATTTCATGGATAGAGGGAAATACAGCTTCTTATGGGAAACACTGCAAAATGACAACCTGGCATCTTTTCACTCATTTATAAAACATGGTTGAATGTGTTCTTCATCTTCAGCTGCTCGCTTTGGTTGTAGTATCTTGCAGATTGCCATCCTCGCTTGATCTCTGACTTTCTCTCCCTCCCTCTTCTGAGTTCCTGACTGCTTTCTAATTCCTAATATTCCATTTCCAGACTGATGGATTACTTGTGTATGAAAATAAGATAATTTTGTCCTTACCTACAATTTGTTGTTTTATGGCAGGGAATTGATCAGTCTGGATTTTATCTCCCTCATAGTGATAGCTATATTTAGGTTGCCTAAGGCTTTCCATTATAAAAAATTCTTGTGATTTTATTTATTTATTTATTTATTTATTTTGAGAAGCTCTAACACTCCTCTTTTTGAAGCAGGCTTTTGAAGCTCATCAGGGAGAAAGCCTTCAGGCTAGAGAAGTGCCTTTTCTTTGTCGCTTGAAATTCTGTTCAGTTTTGGCTAAGATATAAACCAGATCTAATCACCATGTCTTCTCAATCATACTGTCAGCAAAATTTTGTCAGTGTGTTCCCTCCTCTGGGTGGTTGTACCCCAGCATGTAGATAGACCAATGGTCTGTCATCTCAAGTGCTGGTGGGCATAATTACCAAATATAGTTTTTATCCAGATTGAGCGATTCCTTGTTATGCAAAGACAAATTTAAAGATTAGAACAAAGCTTATATCCATCATTTACATGAAAGATGGATGCAAGTCATAAATCTCTCATCTATATATGTTGTTGATGCAACAGTTGTATTTAATTTTTAAAAATTGTAAGCATAAAATTTTAGCTGTCTAAATCATTAGGGTTTTTTAGAAATTAAAAAAAAATCTGACCTTATCAAATTTTGCAAATTCAAAGATACCTAGGTTGCTGAAGGGCAGAGATTAATTATTTAGAACACAGTTTCCTTGGGAGGGAGAATAGGGTGGAAATGCATATTTATAGTACATCTATGGTGAGGTTTCTTATTACAGCATATGAAATTATTTGAGTTGATAAGGGAGTGTAAACTTTATATTTTGTTTAACCTTTTTGATATTACTGTGTTTTCTTCAGTACTGTTATTAATTAATCAACATATCATCATTGACTTCAGTGGCGCTACATCAATTTACACTAGCTATGGATCTGACCCTATATAACCAGCTTTGAATCAGGCACAGAATAATATTCAAAAGATAAGTTTAGAAAATAAGTGCTGGAATTGGGTAGCAGTACTGAAAACAGCAGTAGTGAAGGGCTCAAAAATTTAAAACTTCCTATGTTACGTTTATACTCCCTTTAAACTGAATCATTGAGATATTACAGGTTTGCTGTCTCTTAGAGCTTAAATAATTTGCATTTGACCTTGGAACCATAATATATTAAGCCACAAATATCATTCACTAACAATATTTTGCTTTGTTGACTTTTCCCAGCCAATAAAGGTGTATCCAAGTGAAATATCTGGTTTTTTTAATGTATAGCATTTTAAATAGATATTGTCTCATAGCAGAGTGTATGTGATTTTCTTTGTAAGTTGACTTCAGTAGTTGATTTGGAAATGGTGCCAATACTGAGGATTGAGTTAAGAAGTCTTTGTATTCCTCTAACTACTGTTGCTTGTGTGCCTATTTCTAAGTTTAGGGGCCTTATTGCCCTTTGCTTCTTGTCACAGAGTCTGTAGCAGTATCTATAGTCAGCATTAAAGGCAGCAGTTTGCAACCTAGTTCCTTATAGTATTTTCATTTTTATTTTGTGAGTTAAAAGAAGCTTTTCTGTTCTCAAAACCCATTAATTGAGATGACAATAAAAATACCCCAGTGTTATGAGCACTGACATCAAGAACATCTGTTCAAATAAGAAATGTAGATTTTGAAATCTACAACTGCATGTTTTTTTCTAATGAAATCATCCACTACTGCTTATTGTAGGAGTGGTAGTTATGTGGCACAAGAGACTTTATTACACTGTTCTAGCAAATTATGCTGCTTTTATGGATAAAAGTATATGTAATATATACAATTTATAATGGAATCCAACAGGAACAGATTATACCATTCTCTCGGTCCGGTGACAAGAGTGGCACGAAATGGCTATCGAGGCCACATGAAGGCCAGCAGGTACAATAATCCCCTGCATCCAGGGGTCACAGATTTTTCCTCTGGTGTTGGTGGCTGGCTTGATAATTAAGTGGGTGTTTTCTGACATTTCTGATCTTTCTAACTTTCAAGGCAAAATTACAGTAGTGACTTATCCTTAAAATAGAAATTTTCTCTTCTGTGATTTGATCTATTTCATCATACAGGCTTTGGCTCATTCTGTTCTGCCTATCCAGTTTCTAAATATTGTATCTCTACATCAAGACTTAAAGATGCTTTACTATAGGTAGCTTTTTAACAGTGTAACACTATGTGGTGGTGGTAGAAACCATGTTGGCAACAAAGCATACTACTTGTGCTTGAGACTGTGTCCAAGGTGTTTTCTTTGTTAATAATTCTTCCTTGAACTTGCCTTTAAAAAATGACTGACTTGGTTAAATTGCAAATCATGAATTAAAATTGGCCCTCTGTGTGGCCAGACTCATTCTAAATAGCACTGTATATAAAACTGCATGCTCACTCAGCTTTTCATTCTGTCTAAAATTAAATTACAACTGTCTGCAGCAGTGTGGTATTGGAGTTGTAAAAGAGAAGGGAATAACTCTTATGTACTAATGAGTAGCAAGCGTTGCGTGTAATTGAGTTAAATTCATATTCATATCCGTGTCTGAATTTGTCAGTATATCACTGTCAATTAGTAGGTGTAGTGAAAATGTTTGCCAGATTTCTGAGATATTTTGCATATGCATAACTGTTGTGATGGGTTAATGGATTAATTCTGGTTTACTTCAACAGACATGTCAGAAATCTGTAGTTTCTCAGCATATTTCTAGAGAGCTGATAAATACACCAATTTAATTATGTAAATTGGTTGATACAAACTGAAATTATCCCTGTTGTGAAAATAAGAATCTTTCCTGTTTTAAAGTAATTTGTAAGCCAGTCAGTTGCTCACTTTTAATAAAGTTTAGTTTCCTTTTCACCATACCAGGCATCTGTTTTTGGCATATTCTTTTTGGGCACCATTTAGATTGATAGGGAATTAATAGCACACTAACTGCATTATAACACACACAATTTACTGCTGTGGGCCAGGTTTTCTGCTCTCTATTATTGATGTCCTTTACTGCTCTCAAATATCTTATAATTATTGTGCATGTTTTGTTGAGCTTTTGCTGTGGATTTTTTATTTTATTTTTTGTAATTTCACTGACTCAAATGATTCTAATAAAAAATCCAGTTTTTCCCACTAGGACTTAGGAAAAGATTCTAATAAAATACTGCAACAATGATACAACATTACTTGTTCAGGGAGTAATGACAAATCTATAATTTACCAATTAGAATTAGTTATAGTTGAAATATAACTGTATCCTAAGCTTTGGGAAGTGCATTTTAAAATCATGAACCACCTTCTGGCCTCATAAATTTATTCCTCTGCAGCATGACGACAGGTCACTTGCAAGTTTCAACTAGAGTAAATGGTGGATTCTCTGTAACTTGAAGTCTTTAAATCATGATTTAAGAACTTAATTAACTCAGCTAGAGCTTAGAGGTCTATTACAGGAGTGGGTGGGTGAGGTTCTGTGGCCTGCAGTGTGCGGGAGTCAGACTAGATGATCATGATGGTCCCTTCTGACTGTAAAATCTGAGTCACAGGTTATGTCTACACTACCCCTTATGTCACTCAGGGGTGTGAATAAGCCCCCCCCCACCCTCCTCAGTGACATAAATTACACTGAGCTTGGAGCTGGTGTGGACAGCACTATGTCGGCAGGAGAGTTTCTCCCATCAATATAGCTACCGCCCTCATTAGGGGATTAATTAAGTTGATGGGAGAATGCTGTTCTGTCAGCTTAGAGTGGCTACACTAGAGCTTACAGTGGCGCAGCTGTACTGATGTAGCTGTGCCATTATAAGCTCTCTAATGTAGCCATAGCCTGAGTAATCATTTACTTTTGCTTGTGACTGTAAATTCCTCAAGAGCAATCCCTCATAGCCACCAAAGTCTTTTTCCATGATGAAGTCTAATAAATAAAATGTCAGCATTTCTAAATTAAAGTACAGATGTTTACATTATGTTTGGGTAATGATTGGAGTACTGCTTTGGGTAAAGGATATTTATATATTTTTCATACTATTTTCTCACATGCTTCTTGTAGTTCTGCAGAATCTGAAGATTTGGCTGTTCATTTGTATCCAGGAGCAGTTACTATTCAAGGTGTTCTCAGGAGGAAGACTTTATTGAAGGAAGGCAAAAAGCCTACCGTAAGACTTCAAATATATGCTAAACCATTTTTCCTCTTTCTCTATTTTAAAATATCTTTAAAACAGAACAAAGCTACTTGGTTAAAATCTGGAAGCCTTTGCTCACTTTTTACTCAGTCCTTACTGAAACAGAACTCTTGCTAAAATCAGTAGGAATTATGATCAAGTAGGAACTGACTAAAAAGTGAGTAAAGACTTCAGTATTTGGTACCTTTGGTACCTTATATATTTGCCACTTACAAAGGCTCCTGCTCCTAGATTTGATTTTTTTGGAATTCATGTGATTTGTCTAAATCAAGGAATTACTGTTATGGAAGTTGATCATCTTTGTTCCTTCAAAAGTATTCCATTAATCCTAAATTGTTAACGTTTTTGCACTTGCATAAACGGTATAACTTATAAATACATTTAACTTACCATAATATAACTTACTATCTATCCATTTCCACTGCTAAAAGAAAAAAAATCAATATACCTTTAGAGGGCAAGAGCCTGGCAACTATTGATATTAAATAGAAATATTGTTAAAATATTAGTGTTGATATGTCTATATCGGGGGTAGCTGTGTTAGTCTGTATCTACAAGAACAACAAGGAGTCTGGTGGCACCTTAAAGACTAACAGATTTATTTGGGCATAAGCTTCCGTGGGTAAAAACCTCACTTCTTCAGATGCATAGAGTGAAAGTTACAGATGTTACATGTGCCGGGGATCCCCTGGCTGCATAAGCGGCAGCGGCGCGGGGCAGGAGACCCCCGGTGGTTCAGGCAGCAGCAGCTGGGGCACGTGGCGGGGCTCCCCAGGCCGCACAGGGAGCGGCACCCGGGGCGCGGGGCAGGAATCCCCCGGCGGCCTGGGCAGCGGTGGCTGGAGCACACCGCGGGGCCCTCCGGGCCGCCCAGGTGGCGGCAGCCGGGGCGCGGGGCAGGAGTCCCCCAGCGGCCCCAGTACCAGCGGCCGGGGCGCGCTGCGGGGCTCCCTGGGCTGCTCGGGCAGCGGCAGCCGGGAAGCGGGGCAGGAGTCCCCCGGTGGCATGGGCAGTGGCTGGGGGAAGGGGGGGCATTCCCCCGGCAGCATGGGTGGTGGGGAAGCTGCGGGGGAGACCCCTGAAGGGGGTAGGTGCTGGGGCTCAGTGGGGAAGTTACCTGGCGCCAGGAGCTGCAACTGGGCAGCGGGGCTCTTCTCCGGCAGCTGAGACACGTGGAGACGGACTCCTGGTGGTGGCAGCAGCTGGGCGGCACTGGATCTCTCCAGCAGCAAGGGCGTGGGGAGGCAGTCTCTCAGCGTCTGCGTCTGCGACTCTTCCTGTGGCAGGAGCAAGGTGGAGCAGGCTCCCAGTAGCTGCGACTGCTGGACATAGGGGAGAGGTTTCTCCAGAGGCAGGAGCCCGGCGGAGCAGATTCCCGGTGGCTGCAGCTGCTGGTGGTCAACTGGAAGTTCTTCCGGCGGCTGGAGCATGGCGGGGCAACCCCCCGGCGGCTGGAGAGCGGGGTGTACGTTCCTCCTCTTGGTGATGTCCCTGCAGGCTGGTCTCAGAATGTGGGAGCTGCTTGCGGTAGCATCTCCGGGGGGGGGGGGATCCTTTTTGTTCTTGTTCTGCTCTCTGGATTTGCTGGTTGGCCGTGACCCTGAGACCCCAAGGGCAGCGGCCGGGAGCCTGTGCGGAGCAACGACCGGGAAGCTGTGAAGGGCAGTAGGTCGTGTTGGGGCAGCCATCAGTATCTTGGGCTGCGTTTTAGGGGCAGCAGGATACATCTTAGTGCACCATTAGCTCTTTTAGCGTAGTAATTATATTATATCAGTGTAGCAGCTTATCAGTTTAATCATTTTTATTGATAAGAACATTTTTATTGATAATGCCTGCATGTGTAACTTTCACTCTATGCGTCTGAAGAAGTGAGGTTTTTACCCACGAAAGCTTATGCCCAAATAAATCTGTTAGTCTTTAAGGTGCCACCAGACTCCTTGTTGATATGAATTCTCGTGTCTATAGACATATTTACAGCCTGTACAGTTTTATTGCCTCTTCCTTGCATACACAGTCTATAACTTCATACATTGTTGAGACACCTCTACAATTCCTGAGTTAAATAAAACTGGATATATTAAGGAGGAAATGGCATCCTTCTTTGAACTTCTTTGCTTTAAACTATAATGGTAACACACCGTTAATGATATTTATGTGTGTAATAATTATATTTATAACTGCCAGACACCCCCAAGCCAAAGCACTTGGAATGCTGCATGATAAGATACAATACAGGGAACCCATGCTTCAGTTGAATCCATGTGGATGGACCCTTGTGTCTGTGCCATTGATTCAACTGCCAGCCTGTGCAGATACAATTGCAAGATCTATGACCTTAATTTTTCTTGATTTAGCAAATAAGTATTTCTCCAGAAGTAACGTATCTATCAGATTATTGTAGATTTACACCACAAAATTCCTTGGATTTTATTTACATTTTTAGACCTACATATTTTTCTCCCTAATCCAAGTAGGTTTTTCAAACTTCGTCTCCCAAAAAATGTTCTGTTGCTGGAAGGTGTCTTTATATTTCCTTTTAGTAACTAGAATGTCAGTTTTGCGGCCATTCGTATCCAACTGGAGTATGGAAGTGCTAACCATTTGTTTCCCTTTCCCTCCCTAATTGTTGAACTGATCCGAAGAGTGAACAGACTAAGCAACCTGGAGTACAAAATGTCATTATTCCCACTCATTTATTGCTAGATCTTTGATGATGTAAATTGGCATAGTTCCATTGACTGAGGGAGCTATCCCAATGTATACCAGCTGAGAATCTATCCCTTATAGATTATTTCTGTATTTTGACATATTTGACATATTTTGTCTATAAATGTGATTCTTGGATATCACAAGCACAAATATCATATCTATTTCTATACTTCTCATTTATTTGCAAGCCCAGTCTATCGTAAATGTCCTTGTTCTAATATATTAATTTATGCATGTGTTCAACTAATTAAAAGTATTGCAAATGATATTGTAATGTAAATACTTTAACTTTATTTGCTCTGAGTTTATTCATTTTATATATTAAAAATACCAAAATGTCCTTGTTTGCTAAATCTATTGATATTAACGAGTGTGTGCAGAGCATCATAATGAGTCTTTTAAAACTGCTGGGATTTGTCAACAAATAAGTGTATTCTGCTTAAATATTTCATATATTACAATATTTTGGTATATAGTAAATTTAGAGAAATAAGATAATTGACCATTTAAAAAAAGACTCATTATGCATTAATTATTGAAATATAGTATGAATGTATGCAAATTAAAGAGTAAATGCTTGCAGCACTTTTTTTTAATCATCTTGATGTATAGTTCCACAAGAAGAAAAAAAGCATCTCTGTCCTTTAATAATTAGACGTTTATGATGCCTGGCATCAAGGTGTTATAATGCTGATATCATACAGTAAATAACATTGCTTTTTGTTAATATTGCTTCTATCAGCAGCTGGTCTGGAAAAATTTTATTTAAACATGGTAATTTCAACTGACAATTTGCTGACAAAGAGCAGCACATCAAAAATAATCAGTGTAGCTTTCTATAAGCCATCACAAATGCCTATTATTGTAACTCAGTTGGCTTGCTGTCTGTGGTTAGAAGCAATGTTATAGTTCCCACTACACTAGTTGATAGAGATGGTCACATTGTGATAGACTTTGAATCCATTGAGAGGAAGACAATTATACCACTATATAAGCATCACATGATTAATGGTGACTTTGGAACAGAAAGCATGTTCTTCTTCGAGTGCTTGCTCATGTCAGTTCCATTCTAGGTGTGTGCGCACGCCCACGTGCACAGTTGGAGATTTTTGCCTTAGCGATATCTATAGGGTCATCTGTGGAGTGCCACACTCGTGTCGGTATACAAGGCATCGCCAGCCCTATGCCCTCTCAGTTGCTTCTTACCGCCTGTGATGGTTGGTCAGTGCAACTTTTTCTCCTTGCCTAGCAAGTTGGTTAGCGGTTCTCCCCTTCCTTCAAACTTTTAGTGTCTTATAAATAGTTTGTTTACAGTAGTTAGTTAATAAGTAGTAGTAAAGTAGTGTAGTTAGTAAGTTAGAGTCCCGGTGGGGACTTTGCCCCAGGCGGGGTATGCCCCAGTTTCCTGGTTTTAAGCCCTGTTCTGCCTGTACAGGCCTATGCCTGTTAGTGACTCCCACATCAGCTGCTTAAAGTGCGTGGGGGAATCACATGCGAAGGACAAGTGTCGCATCTGTAAGAACTTTCGTCCGAGAACACAAAAGGAGCACGACATCCGTTTGAGGGCCCTCCTCGTGGAGGCTGCTCTCCATCCGGCATTGGAGCCCTCCCAGCTGGACTCTACTCCTAGCACTTCGGCCTTGTGCGTAGTGCACCCCCAACACTGGGAAATAAAGGCCAATGGGTAAAGGATCCAGTTTGGGCTGCCCACCCACCCTGGAGCTACATGGGTGTGCCTCCCTGATCAGACCTCTACCCCTCGTTCCCCCCCCTCCTCTCCAAGGGATCCACCACCGACTCTCAAGAGTGGTAGGGGACCCTGACTCTTGGCAAGGCTGTTGTCTTCCCAGGCCCTACCAGAGTCCAGAGAGCAAAGGACTCTTCCAGTGCCACTGGCACTGCGCACAATGCTGGACCCAGCAAAGGCTCCCTATGAGGGCAAGCCAGCCGTAAACCGCCCACCCACACACCCCATAGGGCAAGCGAACACCCCGGTTCCCGAAGCTGAGGCAGCACTCTCAGTCTCCACAGTCCAGGTTGTCGGTTAGATGTCCTAGGTTGCTGGCACCGCACTTGTGGTCTCCGCCTACTTGACACGGATCGTCCAGAGGGAGATGCTGGTCATAGTATGGCCAGCACTGGTTGTCCTCCCGCCAGTAGTCTCCACGGCATAGATCCCCATCACCTAGACCACAGGAATGATCTCCGATGCGGTACCAGTCTCCTCGCTCCCGGCACCAATCTGCCTACTCAAGGCACCGTTCACCTACGGTGATGGTTAGCCGTCAAACTCAGGCGTTGACAGCCCCACCATGGTCACTGAAGGGAGTTGAGCCCCGCGCCGAGGGAGCACCAGCACGAGTGGGCACCTGAGGCTGTGTCAACCTCCGCGATGCCTTCCTGGCAGCAGGACCAGTGGCTGGCACAGTGGCCCTACTGGAATGCATGGGGTATGCTGGTTATGCCAATGCCCTTTTCACACCACTCATCGGTTCCCACTTTGGAAAAGCAACTGGTGGCACCGGGCTCAGTGCGTGAAGCAGAATTGGATGCCGGGGGGAGGAGTAAATGCCCACTCCTAAAATCCCTTCCCCCATGGGGGATGATGTCCTACACCCTCCCCGTCTCCAGATGAGGGTGTTGCGAGGCTCTCTCCTGCCAGCCCACTGGACAATTTTAAGGCGCCACCAGGCCCTGCTTCGAAGGATGGCTGTGAACTCGGGCCTGGAGGTGGAGGAGATGGTGGAGCATTTGGACACCTTGTTTACTATGCTCTTGGCATCAACCCCCTGACATGTCGCGCTACCAGTGTACGATGGGGTCTTAAAAATAACTAAAGCCCTCTGGCAAATCCCGTTTTCCATCCTGCCCACTTCCAAGAGAGCTGAAAAGAAGTATTTCATCCCACCTAAAGTGTTCGAATACCTGTATACCCACCCACCTTTGGGGTCACTGATTGGCTCTGTGGCCAACGAGAAAGACAGACGGGCAAACCAGTTCTACTCCCAAAAATAAAGAAGCCAAGAGGCTGGAACTTTTTGAAAGAGAAATTTATTCAATGGCCAGCCGTCAGTTCAAGGTAGTAAACCACCAGGTTCTTTTGGGGAGATATAACTTAAACTTTTGGGAGTCCCTCCATAAATTCGAGGATTCCCTGCCCCGGGACTTGGCCCAAGCATTAAGGGCCCTAATTGAGGCAGTGTAACAGGGCGACGACTCACCCCTGTGGCGCCTCCTGTCGGTCGTCCCCTCCCCAAGGAGCCCCCACCCCCTATCCCCACCTCGCCTCAGTCGTAGGCTACTGACAGTCACCAACTAGCCTTCTCTCCCTGGGGCAGACTGCCGTATAAGCCACTCATCACAGGAAAGGAGGGGTTTGGACCTGCTGCCTCGGCCTAGCCTTGGTTCTGTCCCGTACAACCCCAGTATCTATTTGGCCTTATAATAGGCTGCAGCCTGGGGGTTTCCAAGCTGGAGCTTCCCAGCTCCCTGGACCTTCCCCCAGCCCTGCTCCAGCTCAGGTACCTTTATCTAGCTCCCTCTACAGCCAGAGAGAGACTGTGTCTGCTCCCGGCTTCACTGGCCTTTATAGAGCCAGCTGGACCCTGATTGGGGCGTGGCCCCCAGCTGAGGCTGCTTCCCCCGATCAGCCCAGCTTTTCCCCTGCCCCAGCCCTCTCCCAGGGCTGGTTTTAACACCTCTGGGCAGGAGTGGGGTGACCATCCCGCTACAGGCAGGTACAGCAGTGGCTAGATGCTCCCTCCAAATGGCCTGGGACGAGGCTGATTCGGCCAGGGTGATCGCATCGGCAGTGGTCATGAGGCACAGTTCCTGGCTTCAGACCACAGGCCTGTCCCAGGAGATGCAGTCCTCAATGCAGGACCTCCTGTTTGATGGGAATGGACTCTTTGCAGAACAAATGGATGCGAGGCTGCATGGACTGAAAGACACTCGGACAACCCTCTACTTGCTGGGTCTTCATACACCGCAGTCAGCGAGGAAGCAGTTCCAGCCGCCCCCGCCTCCAAGGTCTTGGCAGCCTCGTCAGGGATCTGCAAGGAGAAGGGACAGAGACATGAGTTTTTGTCATCACTGCCCTTCCTCTTCCTGTCACCTGCGCAGCCCAGCCTGGCGAAACATCATGGGGAGCCAGAAGTGCTCATTTTGAGGGTGCGCTCAAGAGCAACGCCCCAGTCCTCTTCCTGGATCTGCCTCATTCTTTCCTTAACCACCTATGTCCCTACTGTTCAGCCTGGTTGCAGGTGACTTGGGACTGCTGAGTGCTTGAAATTATATCTCTGGGCTACACCCTACAATTCTTAGCTGCCCCTTTCCCACCCCTCCCTTCCCTGTCCCTCTTCAGGGACCCTTCTCATGAGCAACTCCTCGTTCAAGAGGTTGAGAAACTCCTGCAGATGGGGACAGTGAAAGATGTCCCTCGGGAAATGAGAGGAAAAAGGTTCTACTCCCATTATTTCCTAATCCTGAAAGCAAAAGGGGGCCTAAGACCCATTCTGGACCTGCGGCACTTCAACAAGTCTCTCAAGAAGGTGAAGTTTTGCATGGTCTCCCTAGCCTCCATCATCCCCTCCTGAATCCAGGAGACCGGTACGTTGCCCTTGACTTGAAGAATGCTTATTTTCATATCTCTATCTTCTAAGGGTACAGACGATTCCTCTGCTTTATGGTGGGCTGGCACTATTTCCAATTCACAGCACTGCCATTTCATCTCTCCTCAGCCCTATAAGTGTTCACAAAATGCATGGCACCAGTGGTCCCTTACCTGAGGCGTCAAGGTCTATCTGTATCTCGACGATTGGCTCATCAAGGGCAGATCTCGGGAACAGATGCAAAGGAGCCTCGATCTGGTACATTCCATCTGCCATGACCTGGGCCTCCTGATAAGCAAAAAGAAATCAACCCTAAGACCTGTGCAATGGATAGAGTTCACAGGGGCAGTCCCCAACTCTATGCGAGCCAGAGCTTTCCTTCCAGACACCCATTTCCAAGCCATGTTGGACTTAATTTCTCATGTAAAGGACCCACCCGCTCACAGCCGCTTGCACCTGCCTGCGGTTGTTAGGCCACATGGCAGCGTGTACGTACGTGGTCCATCATGCCCAGCTCCATCTCCAGCCATTGCAAGCATGGTTGGCATTGGTCTACATCCCCAACAGACACGATCTAGACCAGTGGTCACCAACTGGTCAATCGTGATCGACTGGTCGATCCTAGAGGATCTCCCAGTTGATCGCGATCTCCAGCGGGACTGCTACTAAGACAGGCTCCCTGCCTGCCACAGCCCCACGCCGCTTCCAGAAGTGGCCAGTGCAGCCCCAGGGTCGTGGAGGGCAGGAGTCTCCCTTCCCACGCTGCTCTTGCCTGCAAGCACTGCCCCCACAGCTTCCACTGCGGTGCTCGCAGAGAGGGGCAATGCGTGGAACCACGTGCTGCCGCCCCCCTACCTGCCCCCCCACACACACGCATAACCATGAACTCCAAACCCACTTTCAGGAATACTGCTTGTGAGTTACATAGAATGGAATCGAGATGAGCAAGCACTCAAAGAAAAAATGGTTACCTACTTTTCTTCGAGATGTGTTGCTCTTGTCCATTCCATTACCTGACCTCCTGCCCCTCTGTTTGAGTAGTTGGCAAGAAGGAACTGAGAGGGCGTAGGGCCAGTGGTGCCTAATATACCGACGCATGAGCTCGGCACTCCAGAGGGCACCAATGCCGAGCCTATGGATACCGCTAAGGCAAAAATCTCTGACGACTGCGCACATACACCTTGAATGGAATGGACATGAGCAACACATCTCAAAGAACAGTTACAAAAAGTCGGTAACTATTTTTTCTACCGTGCTCAATGGAGGATGAGTGCTGAAATGACAGCAGCTAAAATGGGTCTTAATAGTTGTGTTATTACAAATATTTTGTGATAAATCAGTAATTTCCAAACAAGTCAATATTTTAATTCTTGCCCCTTGATGGCAAATATATCATTAAAAAGAAAAGGTATTTCTGTACCCAAAGTCAGTGCAGTATTGAATAAAAAGTCTTGGTAAAGTAGAGGAAATAAGGGGTGAGGGATAGCTCAGTGGTTTGAGCATTGGCCTGCTAAACCCAGGGTTGCGAGTTCAATCCTTGAGGGGGCCACCTAGGGGTCTGGGGCAAAATCAGGACTTGGTCCTGCTAGTGAAGGCAGGGGGCTGGACTCGATGACCTTTCAAGGTCCCTTCCAGTTCTAGGAGATAGGATATCTCCGTTAATTATTATTATTAGAAGTATTACCTTGTTTGATGCCTGGATCATTAAGGACTGATCAAGACCTCTGTGCACTACTTTCTTGATTCATATTGTGTTCCTGGGCATGTATTCTTAATCTAACTAGAAATAGCATCAGTGAAAAGGCAGCTCTTTTTGGCTGGGCTAGGTCCTGGGCAGTTGCTGCCCTAGGGAAATTTATGGGATGATGAGGTAAACATACATGCATTTTTAACAACAAGACAGCATAAAATATTTTGTTTCATTAATCTGTTCTCTCTCTTTCTCTGTAGGTAGCATCTTGGACAAAATACTGGGCAGCACTGTGTGGAACCCAGCTTTTTTACTATGCTGCAAAGTCTCTGAAGGCTACAGAGAGAAAACATGTATGTATTATAGTGCATCTCCCGACACTGCCAGCCAAAATGTAAAAGTAAATGCACTTTCCTGATACACACACCAACAGAATAATCCAGGACCTGCAAGTGAGCACTATCCTGTCCTTCAGTCAGTCTGTGTCATCTCAATGGATACAACTTAATAGAAGTAGGCACTGTAATAGGCTATACAGGGAACATCTACTTTGCATGTGTCATTTGGGCTCAATGAAATTGTGTATTAAACACATTAGAGAAGACCTGGAAAGAAAGCAATGCTAATGGTAGTCTTGCGTTGTCACCTATAGACCATACCTTCCTACAATATCTGATTAGAACAGGGGTGGGCAAACTTTTTGGGCCGAGGGCCACATCTGGGTGGGGAAATTGTATGCAGGGCTGGGGCAGGGGGTTGGGGTGTGGGAGGGGGTGTGGTGTGCAGGAAGGGGCTTAGGGCAAGGGATTGGGGCAGAGGAGGAGTGCGGGGTGTATGAGGGGGCTGAGGGCAGGGGATTGGGGTGCAGGAGGGTGCGGGGTGCAGCAAGGGGCTCAGGGCAGGGGGGTTGGGGTGCAGGAGGGGTGCAAGGTGCAAGCAGGGGGCTTAGGGCAGGGAGTTGGGGGGTGAGGTACAGGAGGGGTTCGGGCTCTGGCCTGGCGCCGCTTACCTCAAGCGGCTCCGGGGTGGCAGCAGTGTGCACCGGAGCCAGGGCAGGCTGCCTGCCCTGTCCCCGGCCCCGCGCCGCTCCCGGAAGCAGTGCAGCCCCTGGAGGAGGGGGGTGGAGGGCCTGCGTGTGCTGCCCTTGCTGCGCTTCCAGGTACCTCCCCGGAAGCTCCCATTGGCCTCAGTTCCCCATTCCCGGCCAATGGAAGCTGCGGGGGGCGGTGCCTGGAGGCAAGGGCAATGCATGGAGCCCTCTGCCCCCCTGCCCGGGGGCCGCAGGGACGTGGTGCCAATAGCACCGCGGGCCGAATCCAAAGCCCTGAGGGGCCGGATCCAAAGCCCTGAGGGGCCATAGTTTGCCCACCCCTGGATTAGAATATATCACTGCCCCCTCCCAACATTGAAGCAAACAATGGCAAATATAAATATTTAAATGAGTAAAGAGCTGGAGAGTGTGTTAAACTCCAGTTTTTGTGGATTACTCTTCCTGCCTATTCTGTCTAATCCAGTAATTCCTGAATTGTGGTCTGTGGACCACCAGTGGCTGCAGAGCACTTCTTGGTGGTATATAGAGAGCTGGCTTGTCACGTGATGCTGGCTCTCCTATCTTGTTTCCAGCTGCTAAATCACATTGAAAGAAGCTAAAATTACATTAAATACTTCCTTATTACTACTTTTTTATGTAAGTAATTACTGTACTTGCTCCAGGAATGTTATGCCATAGCCAGTGGAAGGGGAGAAGGGTGGTCTGTGTAGTCATGAAAGGGGGAGTGGATGTATCTATCAAGAGATGGAAGAAAGTTGGGAACCCCTGACGTTGTCTATGTAGAGCCTATACTGTGACTATCACTTCTAGGCAGTAGCTCTATCCAGTGTTTCAAGTCTTCATTAGCCATGTTAATTTTGTCAGATGTCACTGTACATGAGGTCATTACCTTTGCATAAAGCTGTATAATTTTAGAAAATGAGAAGTTGTGCTCCGGAATCCTGGAAAGGGGACTAGCTTGTTTGTCTGTGGTACAAAATGTTCTTTTCCTATTTCTTACATGCAGAGGGCAAAGGTAAGATCTTGGATCTCTGAGAGTTCTGTTCTACTTTCTGTAAAAAAAATCCACTAAAAATTGTCCTTGTCATTTATATAACAAGCTGTGTGTTTTCCAAATTTATTTACACTAGTTAATTTCACTGGGAAATATCTAAAGTAGCTTAATAATAGTAGCTTAGTACACTAAAAAGGTTTGAATGCCTTAATTATTTTTTCTCCCCACTTAAATTGGCATTCAGTTTGCTTAGCTGAGAGCAATGGTCCTGCTTAATCTAATCTGTCAATTGTTACTGCCTAGTTTGAAACTAGTGAAGTGCACTTTTGGACAGATTTATATGTGATATTAACAAAAAACGTACATAGTCAAATCTGCCTCACTAAGAGTAGAAATAGCAGGAAAGAATGGAAAGAAACAAGATTGTACAAATGATTATATTTAAAAAAAAATTAAGAAAATAATTTGTTGCTGGCATTATATTGTCAAGGGTGTATTGCTTGTCTTTCTGGAGGCACTGAGAATTTAAAAAGCCTCCTTTCTGCCAGTATGTCATGTTCTTCTTCGAGTGATTGCTCCTGTGTATTCCACAGTAGGTGTGCGTGCTCGCCACGTGCACTGGTGCCGGAAGTTTTTCCCTTAGCAGTACCCATACTGGGGGAGCACTGCGGCGACCCCTGGAGTGGCACCCGTATATCGTGTTATAAGGGGAGCCATGAGCTACCCCCACCCTCAGTTCCTTCTTGCCGCCAGTGAAGGTAGTCGGAACTTTTGTGCTCCAGCTCTGCTGCAGCCCTTCTTCTCGACCTTAGTGGTACCGTTGTAGATCGTTCTTCAGTTGTTAGAGTGGGCTCGGGGCATGCCCCGTGCCCCAGGCTTCAAATCGTGCGACTCCGGTCGCCGTTCTGTGCCCAGGAGCGACCTTCACGCTGAGTGTCTTCGCTGCCTGTGAGAGACTCACATCAGCGACCGTTGCAAGATCTGCAGGTCGTTCAAGCCAAGAACCAAGAAGAAAAGAGACTTCAGACTTGGAGCTCTCCTGGTGGAGTCGGCGCTGACCCCGACACCGGTACGCAGATCAGACTCGGCGCCGGCTGCTGTGTCGTCGGTGCGTAGCAGGGCCCCTTCGACCAGTCGGCGCCGCTCTCCATCCAAAAAGCAAGGGAAGGGCCCAGCCTCACAACGACGCCAAGATAAGGACAAGAGGGAGGCTGGTCCCGCGCTGGGCAGCCCTCGATCCCGCCCCCCCGGGCTCAAAGGCTCCAACTCATGTGGAGTGGAGCAGCCCGGTACCGTTGGCCCAGGCATCCCCACCGGTGCAGATGCCGTCAACGCCGGAGGCAGTGCAGGCTGCGAAGGACATGTCCCTGCCCGTCCTGAGCTCACAATCGGGCACGGGCCCTAGGTCGCGAGGCAAACCCCCTTTGGGTGCCCACCAGACCTCTCTGAGCAGCTGCAGTTCCCACTCCGAAGATAGTTCCCTGCACCGCTCGGCGCGCAGCGGCCACCCTGGACGCCAGCCAGACCGTCCAGGTTGCCATCGGGAAGGGAGATGCGGGGACCCTGTACGCCGCCTGCCAGCGAGCATAGGCACTGAGAGAGGCACCGGGAATGCTCACCTGCTAGACATGGGTACCGGAGCTGTTCTCGACGGGACAGACATCGGTGCTCCTGTTCCAGCTCCTGCTCATCTAGATGTCACGCCAGAGGCTCCCCTCGGGGTACCTTGGTATCAGGGCACCGGGCTTCGCGTCACCATCATGTGTACCGAAGCAGTTCGTTGTGTGGGTACTGTTCATCGTCGTCGAGATCCCGGTCCCGAGGGAGACGACGTCACAGACAACACTCCTACCGCTCCCGCGGCACTGAGTGTTCTTCAGCGACCTCGGCACCCCTCTACCCGGCCTCGGCGCACGCTGTTCTGTCGGGACCCTGTGGCAAGGACAGTGGTGCCAGTGGGCACAGTGGCCATCGGTGCCAGCCCAAATGGAGACCTGTTCAGTCGCTGGAGCATCCCAGGCTCCATCGGCCTCCTCCGACCGCCCGTGGGACAAGTCGGTGGGTCAGGAATCCGCAGACCTGTGCCAGGACTCTGACCTCGGTCTCGACGCCCCGGCACTGACCGAGGCACCCGGCTCCGTGCGGGATGTCTCTCCGGCACCGGACGACATCACAGTGGCACCTCCGCCATTGGTCCCGCAGGAGGACTTCAAGGCGCACCAGGACCTGCTAAAGCAGGTGGCTTCCAACCTCCAGCTGCAGGGCGAGGAGATGGAGGGTCCGCCTGATTCCCTCTTTAAAGTCCTGCGCCAGGCCGCATGGCCCTGCCTCTGCACCAGGGTATTGCTAAAATTTCTAACTCCCTGTGGCAAATTCCCGCCTCCTTGGTCCCAATCTCGAAAAAGGCTGAGAGGAAATACTTTGTGCCGGCGAAGGACCATGAATACTTGTATTCCCACCCGGCACCCAACTCGCTCATTGTGGAATCGGTAAACCACAGAGAGCATCTAGGCCAGCCCGTGCCCACCTCCAAAAACAGACGCCAGGAGACTGGACTCCTTTGGCAGAAAATTTTATTCATTGGCTAGTTTCCAGCTTCGTGTAGCCAACCACCAGGCCTTACTGAGCAGGTACGACTTCAACCTGTGGGAGTCCCTGCCTAAATTTGAGCCCCTCCTCCCGGACTGGGACAGGAAGGACTTCAAGGCTCTGATAGCAGAGGGGTTGGTGGCGGCTAAAGTGGCCCTGCAAGCAGCGTCCGATGCTGCTGATCCGGAGGCCCGCTTGATGGCATCCGCAATCACCATGTGCAGGGCGTCGTGGCTCCTGTTGTCCGGGCTGTCGATGGAGGCCCAATCTCTGATGCAGGACCTCCCGTTCGATGGCGAGGCACTCTTTGCGGACCAGACAGACATCAGGCTGCATGGGATGAAAGATTCCCGCAGCACCTTGTAGACCTTGGGCCTCTCCGTCCCTCCGGCTAAGGACAAGGCCAAATCGCTTCCGGCGGTTCAACCTGCGAGAACCAGATATGAGCCCCCGTACAAAAGACCCAGAGACCAGAAGCGTCAGTCTCAACGGCAGTCCTTCTCTGTCCCGCAGCCTGGACCCTCTAAGGGCAGGAGGCAGGGAAAGAAGCAGTTTTTGACTATTTGCAGGGGGGCACCGGGCCTGTTGCCAGGGAGACCCCCCCGATTAATAAAGTTTGTGTTCTGCAACTGATTGTCTGCCTTCCTCAGGGCGTGGTCCCGCATAACTTCAGACTAATGGGTCCTCAGTACCATTTCCAAGGGCTACATGTTGCAACC